AAATATCTTATAAATAAAATTCTAAAGTTGTTCAAAATATAAATAAACTTAGTTAATTTATTAATGTTATTAATGTTTAAGTAGGAAATATAATTACAATCGAATCTTAATGGCCACTTCCAACGAAGGACACCTCTAAACAGCCGTAGAATATTTTTTTGGGGGAAAAATGCATACAAAATAATCTCAAAACCACGGACACCTCCGAACAACGGCCATTTATTTAAGTTCACATTACTGTCCGTTGTTCGGAGGTTTGTATTTTATTATCTATAAAAAAATAATAATAAATAAAACAAAATTCAAATAAAAATGATTAAACTTCGTAAAATAAGAATTACAAATAAAATAAATTTTCACAAAAAAATTAATGGTGATATAATGGATATCACGTGAATTTTAATTATAATTAAGTTTAAAAAATTAACTTTTCTTACAATAATAATAATAATAATAATAATAACGTAGAAAGCAATAATAAATTAAAAACTGGTGTTACTTTACGTTGGCTTAATGAAAAAATTTATTATTCAGATAATTTTAACATTAATAAAACCGCAGAGTTTCCATAGAATATAGATAAAGTTATGAAAGGAAGAATCCATGCCCTGAATATAATTTATGAAGTTTATAATTGATGCCATTAATACCAATTAAGATATTAGCATAACAAGATCATTTGTGGAAAAGTTAATTGAGTAATCAGTCGTTAAAAAAGTAAAAAAATACCAAACAAAATAAGAGTTAAAACATCGTTAAAGATTAAGTTAACGTTTAAAATTATTATTAATTATAATTAAATTTAATTGATAATTAAGTTAAAAAAAAGACAGTAAAATTCCTGTTTATCATGTTAAGTGGAATTAACTTAAATGTAAGCGATAAAAATGATTAATAGGCGATAATAATAATAATAATAAATTTAAAAAAAATACTTTTTATTATTTGTTTTAGACGTATTTATATCATTCTAACTAAAAATTAAATTAGAAAAAATATAATTTTTACGACTTAAATAGAATTATATGTTTCGAGTAAGTAATCATTCGTGTAAGTGGTTACCATATTGATTATTATAAAGAATAAAAATTTTGTTTAATTTTATAATGGATTTTATTTTAGTTAATAATTTATATATTTATAACCTACATAATTTTATTTAAATAATATTTAATAAGTTTTTTAAATACATATATATTAATATTAAAAATAATAATTTGTTAAGTTAATGGTATCGAAGATTAATCTTATTTTCGGGTCGAGATGATAATTGATAAAGGTTAAAATTTATTAATTATCCTTTAAAAATTTAATTTGTAATTAAAAATTTAATGAATTTATATAACTTTTTAATTATTTTTAACATTTTTGTGTAATAATTATAGGTAGAAATCTGACGAATTAGTAGATAAAATGGCGATATTCCGAAGAAAATTATGGTTTGAAAGAGAAAAAATTTAATAAAAGTTTATAGATTATCATAAATACACATAAAGGCCTTAAAATTATACGTGAAACTCGTTAAGATAATAGCTAAAAGGGCGGATTTATACATATGTTTTATTGCTGTTTTTACTGGAATTATCATTTTGGCTCATGAGAATTGAGTACTTATTGCAGTTTTTTATGCGAAAGAACGAGCTTGATAATTAAATTTTGGGAAGGGGAAAAAAGGTTAATAAATGCTTGTAAATTATCATAAAATATGCATTTATACCATTAAATCATCCGTAAAAATTTCTTTTAAGATAATAAATAAAAAGGCAGATTTCTCTCCCCTTCCAATACAGCTTACGATAAATTAAATAGTGAGCTTATCGTGATCATTTTTGTATGTAAACAATTACATTAACTAAATTTCCGATGAAGATAATCATTAATAAAAATTAGCATTAGCATAAATCAATATTAGAACTCATTAAGATAAATAAAACTGCATCCTTTCCCACTGGATTATCGCCAAATTATCAAATTTAGATACATAAAAATCACTGTCCTACACGTAATTAGATTGGCTTAACGTAAAGGAAAGATAATAAAAGCGTGTAGATTATGATAAATCCTCATGAAATCCTTTATATTATTGTTATTGATAAGTCGAACTAATTCAAAACATATTGTAATTTTCTATTATAGGGCATTTAAGATAATAGATTAACGTCAAATGCAGCTTAACAGCTACCTATTGGAGGCTTCCCTATACGACTTCATACTAATTACTTTCTATAGATAAGCTTAATTTATAGATAATGTCATTATAATGAAGCGAAGGCAGATCAGATAATATATTAAATCTGCGTTTGATTGAGTGGTTGTTATTCTAATAGCGAAGCGAATTGGCTAATTGCTATTATGTATTTTGGCAAAAGAAATATTCATTTCTATAGCGATTTAGCGATTTAGCGATGATAAGTTTATATATATTATATTAGAAATACGATAATACTAAGTTTTCTGCAGGAACATTTACTAGAAATGAGTATTTTTCGTGAGGATATGCGTGAAAAGCGCTTTATTAATAGCGCGCTATACACGCGATAATCTTTAACAGTTTTCTGATATTACGATCGTCTTGGGACTTAAAATAAAATTAACCGAGAAGAGTTCGCTACCATCCTCGATGTGTTTATAAGAATTAATTATGTTTCGAGCCTTTTTATTGGCTTTTAATCTGGAAATTCCTCAACAATGACTAAATATCGAACGTGAGATCGCGACGCATCGCTTCTTACGTGAATATTTGTTGTTTTAAACGTTATAATTCTTTTATAAAGTATTAAAAACGATAAGTAATTATTTATTAAACTAAAATTATAAACGTCATTTTTAAAAAAATATATTTTTTTGTGAGTTATGTGCAAAATTATCGAGCGCGACGCGACGCGATGCGAATAGCGCGCCTGGTTAACTCCGAAATTAAATTTATTTTATTACTTATATATTATTTATACACTAATAAGTTATCGATATATAAATTCAGTAAGTTGTTACGCTTTAAGTTTTAAAGTCAACACATTTCCGGTATTTAAATAGATTATAAAAAGTAGAAATATACTCGATATTGTCGCGCCGCTTCGCATATTAATAATTATAAAAACGAATGCTGTTAAATATGCGCTTGTAAAAAGATTAATGCTGTCTGAAGTGAATATAAGATATTAAATTTAGAAGAGAATTTACATGTAATTTTAAAGAATTTCGATATTTTTGCGCTATTAAATCGCGTCGCAAAGCCACACGCCGCGACATAAATTTTGCGTTACTGATACATAAGTTCTTGTACCCGAATTTTAATTTAATCCGTTTATTTAACTTTATTTTGGTAATATATTTAAGTTTTAAAGTACAGAAATCATTAATTTGAGAAATATGCAAGATGTTTTTCTTTTGACGATAAAATCGCGTCGCGTCGCATCAATCGCGCGACAAAGGAGAAAGTAAGTAAGAAAAAGAAAAGAAAATAAAGATAAACGCTTAGAAGGTTCGAATTCTAATTGCTTATTCATATTTTCTGCTTAAAAGGAGAAAGATATCGCGCGTAATACCTTAAATAATACAAAAAAAAAATCGCGAAAGAAGCGGAATAAAAATTTAAATCTTATACTTTTTATTATTTTTTTTTTATAGTTAAAGACGAAGAAAATAAGAAAAATTTGCATTTCATATTGAAAGTTTTCAATTTTAAATTTCGAAAATAGTATTATTTTCAAAACCATCATTCCAAGTGAAGATATCTTAAACGAATTTCCCTCGAGCGACTCTTAATGTATAGAAACACGTCTGACCTCATCGCAAAAGGATAGAAGGAAGAGAAACACACACACACAGAGAGAGAGGTAAAAAAAAAGAAGAATAAGAAGTAAAAAAAAAGGAAATCCACATGCGATCTAGCGTGAGTTACAAATAAAAATGGAATTAAAGTGCTATTCCGGTGTTACTTACAGTCTTAAATTTGGCCAGAATGATATCTAAGATTGAATGAGGTCATTTATTTACGATTTATATGTAAAAATACTTATATAAATGAGCACTTTCGAATGGCTAAGTGACGGCATCGGCGGGTCACGTGACCGCATTGTCACTAATCATCATCCCGGTTACCCCACCCAGAAAATAGCGGAAAATTGGCCGGCCTGGCTGCGATTAACAATGACCGCTCACCTATAATATATCAAATTTTATTGATGCACTGGGGGTGGACTGTCGTGACGTCAGTGACTTTGCGGGTAACGAGAAACTTCTGATAAAAGTTGATCAAAATCCCTTTAAGAAAGACGATTTTTTTTCTTTTCTTTTTTCCCCTTCTTCTTTGCCGATTTTTACGATGTTTAAAGTTTATCACAGAGGATAATTGGCTAAACAAATGTTTGCTTTAAATTATAATCCCGCTATTCCACAGTTGATATCCTTGCTAATCTTAATGTAACTGGATCGGGTTTCGTTGGTCTTTACAGAGTTTTATTTTTTATTTTTATCCTTCACAAACTTAATACACGTCTATAGGCACGGGCATCTATAATTTTAATCCGTGAGTTATCCTCCCAACGTGCATAAAAACACGAATTGTGATAAATCCCCGCTCTTGTATAGCATCCCATCGTATAAATATTTTATCACAGATCAATTTTCTAGTAAAGTTTAAGTAACCGATACAGTTCAAAAGGCTAATTGGCACAGAATTAACTATTGTGAAACAGAGTTGAATTGCTAATTTACTGGTTTATAATTCGACATTAAGTACTAATTCAGCATCCTTAATCAAGTGACATTTGGCGTGCACGGTAGGAAATTTTAGCAAAATTCGATTGTAAAATAAAGAAAAATATTATCGAGTTGATTTATTAACGATTTAATCCCACTAGACTATATCACCTAAGCATCGAAATTCCCTAAGTAATAAGCCGCGTGGGATAGAAAGAGTTTATCAAACTACAGTTAGATTTATAATAAGGGGAAAAGACAAAAAAATAAAAAGATTAAGTTTAAGCTGAATAACTCACCATGTCCCGCAATTGTTAGTGATGCTATCGTTAGTAAAACCAGTACCAGTGCACGTGCGAGCCACTTGTCCATGACGTGTGCTGCCATACAAGTAATCACAGGGACTCGACACTCGATCGATGCACAGTCGGACTCTGGGACTATACATCCGCTTTCTCTGCCTTATACCATGAAAAAGCCTTCCGACGCCTGCGTACTGTGAACTTCGCTCATTCATAACTTGCATAAACTCATTAAAGACCCTCCACAACGCGTTTCTTCAACGAAACATATGGAAAACTTACTTAATTTTAAGGAAGGTTAACTACCAGTAACGATTGCCTTCTCGTCTTTCTCTTCTTTCTATTTTTTTCTTTTTTTTTATTCGGGGGAGGGTAGAAAGGTTCAATGAAGCGTGATTACGTCCAAGTAAAGCTTATTGAAGCGTCGTAGGGAGGAAAATCCACTATTATTATGTAGCGACACGTCAAATAGAATATTTTTCTGTCAAACGGACTTATTTCCTCTGACAACTACCCTAATTAAGGCATATTTATTGATATTCCGCTTTCTGAAACACGTTATTCGATCTATTGATAAATTTTTTCCTAAAGAGATTTAAGTTTGACGAATTTTCTTTGCAGTTTTCTAATGTTCCAAACGTTGAATTACGAATATATATATATATATTCGTATCAAAGTTTTAACAGTTCCATTACCGAATTTAAATAAATATTCGAGAGAAGTTTGAATTAAGTTTTTAAACTTAAAATGCAAATTTTGATTGATTTATCCACATTTATCAGCATCACAACTCGATAATAAAATAATCGTCCATTGATTTATTTAGGTAGAAAAAGATTAGAATTATTTAAATTACGATTTATTTACTTTCTAAACAAGATTTAATCGATATTATAATGTTAATATAGTAACAAAGTAGCTAAAAGTACAGAAATTTTCGATCGGATTTAAATCGAGGAAGCTGCTTCATTCAGAAGATGCATCGTTCCAATGGCATCACCGTTCCAGGACGTGGTTTGCAACAACATTGTTGAGGAATAAGATAATTTTGTGAATTCTGTTTCCTTCACGCCATCATTCTCTCTATCTTTCGAATTTTTTTTTAATATTAAGAAAGAAATTTTGCAAAAATTTTTTTCCTCCTTTTCGCAAACTTCCTCTTTGTTTTTGATTCCGAAATCTCTTTTATAAATTACTTTATTCTTCTTATTTCCTGCATATTACAGAAATTTCCTGTTATATTGTTGTATATATTTATATCTGCTTCAAAGAACTTAAACATAATAATTTATAAGGAGAAAATTGAATGTCTACAGTCAAGTAAACTTTATAAACTTTCGAAATAAATTTAGTAATAATATAAATAAGTGAAAAATTAATTCTGAATTATTTAAGTTTAATTTAAAGCCCAAATTTTATTTGTAAAAATTTATTTATTTTTTTCCCCAGTTATTTTTATTATTTAGATAGAAAGATGCAGCCTCATCACTAGAGGATGATGATGAGAAGAGATTATACAGCATCAAATCTTCTTTAAATTCACTACGTTCTCTCTCATTTTTTAAATATGTAAACATTAATTTTCCGTTCAAAATCTGAATATAAAATGCATTATTTTAAAGAAAATTGTATATTATTTATCGTAAAATATTGTAGATATTCATTGCACGAATTGAAGGTAAGATTCTATGGTTTATCGTAATAATGGTTTATTGTAATTGAAGGTAAGAATGGTTTATTGTCTTACATACCAAGACAGTGATGAAGAAAAGTCAGGAAACTCTTAATCACAACGCAATTATCATTATTAAACTATCAAAAACCTATAATGTAACGATAACGTTACTCCTCCTAAAATCACAACAAGGCCTCGGAGGATGCATTTAAAGAGGATAAAAGAGCAATTTAAAAGATATCACGCTTCAATATATATCCAAACAATATATGAACACTCATTTAAAAGGGAAATCTCATTTTTTTCCTACTTATTTTTTTTCCTTAGAAGAAAAGAACAAATTGCTTAATCAGTATGGCGTTAAAGCGTGCTGCAGCTTACAAATAGGGAGAAAGAAAGAGAGTCCGATAAGGAAGTAAAAGAGATGAATTATCGATCTGAGTGATAGACGAAAAATTTAGAATAGATTTGCTGCACCGATACTTAAAACTATTATTATAGATCGAAAGGAAAGAAAAAGAAGAAGAAAGAAAAAATACATGGAAAGAATTTACCCTCCCTCTCCCAAAGGAACCGGAATATGATTAAAAAAATATCTTAATTTGCATTTTTATTATTTTTCCATTTTTAATTTAGGTGATTAGGAAAATCGGAACAGATTTCCCCGATACTATTCCTACTCTTATCATCTACACACCATCGAAATGACAAATACAATTCGATGATATTATTATAATTTTGAAGGTTTTATTCAGAAAAAAATAAATATTTTACTCGTGAAATTTAATATTTATTTTAGTTTTTCCTACTGTTATTTATTCATTTTATATACGATTTATTTCTCTTTTATATCTCTTCACCTGTTAAGAATTTTTTTTTTTTGTGATCATTCGTTTTGATTCCATTTTCTGTTTCTACGCCTATAACTTCTTTCTATCGCTTTGAAATTCTCTCAAAATGTTATAAATATACGCGAATTCAAAACAATTATTATTTTACATTTACTTTAAGCTAGTATTTTCTAATTCTTTATTAATTTCTTTAAGTTATTCTATCAACTGAAATAGCTTACTCCACTCCAACAATTATTTTATTTAATTCTTTATAATATAACTTTTGAGAATTACTGTATTTGTTTTCTTAACTCTTATAAATTATTTTCACTTAGAGCTAAGTAAAGTATTATTTTTTCTACATTATTTATATATAATTTTTTAATAGTTTCTAAGCTTCCTTTGTTAACTTTTCTTGGAATTTCTTAGATTTAACAATGGATAACTCGAAAAGAAAACAGAAAGTCACGCAGTTTAGAGTTATTTAGAAACTGTTTAATACCTTTTTTTATATTTAAATGTTTTAAATAATTGAATTTTCCTATATATTCTTTACGAGATACTTTCCATTCTATTTTGTACGTTTTCTGGGGGAGCATTCGGGAAATATATACTTTTAAATGCTTTTTATAGTCCTAAAGATGTAAGAAGACGTCTTTTACTGAGCTTTAGATAATCTTAATCTATAAAATTTAATTTAGATCTGCTATAATTCTTAATCTAAAGCGGTCTAAAGGGCGGATTTTAAGGGTTATCCAGCTAATGATCCATTGAAGTGCAGTTATAATTCTAGTCAAATTATATTGTTTAACGATTTTTTAAAAATTTATTGAGATAATTTAATAAATAAATTTCAAAATAGCCTTTAAACTCTACATATTTTATGTTATGGAGCCCTTAAAACCATAACTGTTTGGCCAAAAATATGTATAATAAAGTTTTCTTTTGGACTGTTTTCAACGTAATTTATAGTAAGTTAATTAAAAGAAATTAAAGAAATTACGTAATCATATTTTCTGGCACGGAATACTCAAAAATATAAATAGAACCAAAACAAGCTCAAGAACAATGATGAGGTTTGCTGGCGAGAAGATCTTCTTTTCTGTAGTAAAAAAGTCGTTTTCTTAGTAGGAAAGCTGTTATACCTTAAAACATAAAATTCTCGATGTGTTGTTTTATTATTTTCCCAAGAACCATTGAATTAAAAAAAAAAAAAAAAAGGAAGAACAGAAAGAGAAAGAGAAGAACGAGGTTCCAGTTAGAAGGAAACAACATTTAATTCCATTTTCGTATTTTTAATATTCGATTATCAATAAATATAAACTAAAAAAAGATATATTCGATTATTTTCTTTATCTTTTATGTAATGTTTTCCACTTCTTTCGCTCTACTTCTTCAATTCAAACTTAAATAGAACAGGTGAATTTCCTCTCCTTTTCTCAGACCGCAGCTGTTAAATCTTTCGGATGCATCTTTCTTAAATACTTAATTATTTAAAATGATCTTGGACCCGTTTCTTACCTTGGTAGATGATTTTTTTTACGTATTTTTGTTTAAAAAAATAAATTAAGCTGCCATTAAGTAACACTTCCTTGTTTATTGATTACTCTTCTCTCAAGGCTTTTTTTCTACTTCGCCAGATGTCTGAACGACTAAAAGTGAAATTTTTAGCATTAATTGATGATATTGTAATCTCCGGATCCGGATATGGAGTGCTCATAGCCTTGACACTATAAAGATTTTACAAACAGACCATTCTTAATGTGTAACACGACACTTGACAGCTTCTTGGTGACATTTCAATCGCACAATTTCCCAGTGAATAATATTAAAATATAACATAACGCATAGATCTTTGCCACGTATAATATATCCGAGATGGTAATAAATTATCATCACTCCCACGTGAATAAAAATAGTACCGATGACGTCATGAAGGTCTCCACCCTTTGCACAATTTTTAAATCTCAAAATAGGTTATTAAATAAAAATCCAGTTATAATTTTACTCAACGTGCTACTGATAAGCCTTCAACTTTTGTATCAATGGGTGAGGAATTGGGGTGTGGTCCCTGAGCCTCTAACCCCATTTCTTGAGATTTCTCATTTTCTATTCTTCATGCGGTTCGAAGATTAAAATCTGTTGCATACGTGGTTTGATTTTTATTAGCATTTAATAAATATAAATCCTAAATAAATGATAAATATTAAATGATAACATCCATGTGATAGAATTATGTGAGTTTCTCATGAAGTTTGTTACCTTGTAACTGTTTTTTTCGTGAAAATTTCTTGATTATCGACGTTAATATAGTTAAATAATGGTTCCTTAGAGGAAGATCTACATTTCTGATTGTAATTTTTTTTATAAAAATCGAGATATTAAACGCGATTTTAAGGATTAAAAAAATATATCTTTCTGATAATAATTCGGGTCGTATGTATAGATTACAAGTGTGATAATAACTTTAAGATAATCATCTATTTATGGGGTAAAATGTAATTTAGATTACGTTCCAGTTAAATTTTTAGATAATATAATCGTAAGCCCCATGACGCTCGTATTAAAGATAATAGTTGGAGGACAATTATAAAGTGTGGATTTTTAACTACTTCGCTATCAATTCTGTAAAGTTTAAAGGTCATTATTATCATTATTCATCCCG